CGCAGTTTTTGTTTATCTGAGAAATATACTATTTGCCCTTCATTTCAGAAGGATAGCCTTGGAGGGTAGAGTATTCTTGGCTTACAATCTCTGTCTTTTAGTATTTTGAATATATCATCCCATTCTTTTCTGGCTTTTAGGGTTTGTGATGAAAAGTATGATGTTAGCCTGATTGGGGCTCCCTTATAGGTGATTTGACCCTCTCTCTTGCAGCTTTTAAGATTCTGTCTTTGGGGCCAGCCCGTGGCTCACTCGGGAGAGTGCGGTGCTGATAACACCAAGGCCATGGGNTGAGCACTTAAAGTTGTCTGATATCTCTCTCAGATTTTCTTCAATGCCTTTGATTCTTTTTACTTTCTTTTCTTTTCTTTTCTTTTCTTTTTTTTTTTTTTTTTGGTCTGCTTGTGTTATTTCAAACAGCCCACCTTCAAGTTCAGAGGGTCTCTCTTCAACTTCCGCAAGCCTGGTGGTTAAACTCTCTGTTGTGTTTTTTATTTCTCTGAATAACTTCTTCAGTTTGGCAAGTTCTGCTACATTTTATTTCAGGACATTGATTTCCTTGTACATTTCCTCTTTCAGGTCCTGTATACTTTTCCTCGTTTCATCATGATGTCTAGCTGAGTTTTCTTGTATCTCATTCAGTTTCCTTAGAATTATCACTCAAAATTCCTTGTCAGTCATTTCAAGGGCTTCTTGTTCTATAGGATCTAGAGCTTGCGATTTATTATCCTTTGGTGGTGTACTTTCTTGATATTTTGTATTTCTGGTATCTTTTTTTTTATGTTTATTCATTGTGGCAGGGGGTTTCACAGTCCACAGGTTTGACACTATTGACTGACTAAGATGTTGCTGTGGTTGCCAGTTTGGTATGGCTACCTCAGTGACTGCTCAGTTGGCCACTAGTGCCTTGCGTGTGTGTTTGCCTTGGGTCTTGGGCCTCTCTGGGGAGCCACCTCTCTGGTCAGCTTGGACTCTCCCGGGCTGCTGGATCACGGGGTGGTACCACAGGGTGTGTGGTCTCTGCTTGTGGTCTCTGCAGAGCTTCCCCTTCCCCTACAGGATGTCTCCCTGCTCTGTGCGTGCTAGGCCAGGCTTGTGATGGAGCCGGGTGGTGGCAGTGAAGCCTACCTGCTGCTGGATCATGCAGCGGTGGCCCCCCCACAGGGTGTGTGGACTCTACGAAGCTTCTATCTCCCTTGCTGGATGTCTCTGTGCTCCGTACGCATTGGGCCGGGCTGCTGGATCACGTGGCAGCAGTGTGGTCCCTGTGGAGTTCCTGCCTCCCCTGCTGGACGTCTCCCTGCTCCAAGTGCACTAGGCTGGGCTGGGAATGAAGCCGGGTGCCTGCGGTGAAGCCTACCTGCTGGATCACACAGTGGCGGCCCCACAGGGTGTGTGGTTTCTGCGGAGCCTCTGCCTCCCTTGCCGGACGTCTCCCCACTCTGTGCTCACTGGGCTGGACTGGGAATAGAGCCAGGTGGCGGCGGTGAAGCCCATCTGTCCCATCGTGCGACGGCAGCCCCGCAGGGCATGTGGTCTCCGCGAAGCTTCTGCCTCCCCCGCTGGATGTCTCCCCATTCCATATGCACTTGTTGTTATGTTTTTATAGTTTAAATCAGTTGATTTGTGGGAGAGAGTGATGCTAGGGACCGTCTATTCCGCCATCTTGACTGGAAGTCCCTATTATGAAATTTTAAATTACATATGTGGTTTGCATTTGTGGCTAGCTTATGTTTCTGTTGGGCAGTGCTGTTCTAGAACCTCAATGGCCTGGGAGCAGCCAGGCATAGAGGGGCTGGCAGGAAGGTGGTATGAGTGTGGGCAGCAGCAAGCCATTTCAGTGCCTCTGCCTCTCCTACCGCCTACTCCCAGCTCACCCAGGCCAAGTCTAGCACCAAGAGCCCCTTTGTCACTAGCTCTGGGTTTCCCAGCTGTGCTAGGCAGGACACATTTTCTCAGGAGTCTAAGCTCTGTCCCTCCTGCTGTTGATTGGGAATGAGCCTCAGAAGAGGGGTCCCAGCACTCCTCCCCTTCGCCAGGTTCCCACCCTACCTGAGAAGGCCGAGAAGGACATAATGGTCTCAGGAGAGTTGTACCTGGTAAAGGCCACAACACTGAACCTGGGGCAGAGAGGCAGGCAGATAAGGCAAAGCCCCTCCCAGGAAACTGGACCCTGAGCAGTAGACAGATAGTGAGAGCTGCTCTCACCTGTCTAGAGACTATGCATCATGCTACCTGCCACCTTGGAGCAAACCACCTCTAGCTTCTCTTCTGCCTTCCCTGCCCTAATCTGAGAGCAGGAAGAAGCTCTAGAAATAGGTACCTGGAGATCCTTGCAATTGCCCTGGCAAGCTGAAACAATCCACCCTCCTTCCTTTTTTTCAAAAAAGAACCATGTAACAGATTAGTGTTTCCTTTTTTGCCTTGCCTGCCAGGAAGCCCAGTCAAAATAACTCTTTTGACCTTTACCGACTAGCACATGAATTCTCTTTGTGAGTCAGCCAGATGTTTTGTTGAAAGAATGTGTAGACAACCCATAAATGAAACTGATAATGTCTCCTCCTCCCTTCAGCCTTAGCCCTCACCTATACTGGGAACCAGGCTTGACCTTCCCATTACAGATCTCCTGGATGTGGCCACAATCGTCTATACCAATGGGCACCGTCCAGGATCTCAGCACAGCCCAGGGCTCTGGGGAGAAGGGGTTGGGAAGCAGGATGGCCAGATAGGAGTCCTGTCCTCTGTAGTAGTGGTTGTCCCACATGTGGCTGATGGCTTCCTGGGAAGGCCAAGCCACTGGGAGAGGAATGAGGGAGGTGCAGAGTGGGTGGGCAGTGGGGCCAAGGCTCCTTTCCCCACTGCACAGGGGCTAGCCCATTTCTTTAACATGCTCCCATCATTTATAATCCGACATCAGTCCTATCCTCAAGAACATTCTGGGTCCTCCTTCCTGCTCCAAGACTAATGCCAGCCTCAGATATTTCACCTTGTCAGTCTCAGACCCCCTCACCCACCCCATGCCAGGTAACAGCCAGGGTCTCCCCATCCCCTCCTGGGCCCAGGACTCACGTGACGTGTTGGTGGTGGCAATGACACCATACCACTGGATGTGCCCATCATCCTTGCCAAACATGCCCCTGGTGATCATCACTCCCATTTCTGTGTCAGGCCCCAGCTGGGGGGCTACAGCTAACTGTGGAGGATGCCAGGCTGGGGATGGAGAAGAACAGAGTGAGGTCCTGACTAGGTGCCTAATAATCGGTCTTCAAGGGCAGGACCATGCCATCATAAACCCAGTCCTGTTCACAGTGCCTGGCAACACATGGCTAATGGATGCAATAGAATAAGGACTGGAACATTCTTGGGCCAGGGTGCCAGGGCATCGAGCCCAAAATATGGTATCAAACCAGCAAGATCAGGGCCAGAGGAAAGGGTTGGGGCTCGGGGAGCAGGGAGAGCCCCAGGCAGCCAGGACCAGATGAGAGACAGCCCCGGCTGGGCAGCAGTGGAGACAGTTGAGGGAACAGAGGTGGCTCAGAGACAGTGCGAGAAGCCTACCCTTGGCAGACGTGGCACACGCCAGCGTGACTGCCCAACTCCACAGACCATTCCTGCCCAGCACAGTGAGGCTGAGGTGACAGGCAGTGGCAGGCACCAGGTTGGGCAACAGGAGGGCATCCTGGGAGCTGCTGGCCTAGAACACGGGGTGGGCGTTCCCTCCTGCTGCCAGCTGCTCTGCCACAACTAGACAGGTGGCCACATCCCCAGCAGGCACCATCCAGCTCAGGGCCGAGCGGGTGGCCTCAGGCTGGCACTGCACATCCTCCATGGGGCCCAGCTCTGTGAGAATCAAAGGCTCTAAATTGTGTGGGTGTCAGTGTACCCCCAAGAGGCTGACATCTGGGTCAGGAGCTCTCAAAATCAGCATGTGCAAAGGCACTGGGCATTTAGGTCCACGGAAATGCACACCTGCCACACAGAGAAACAACTTCTTTGCACATCACTGCCCACTGGGAGACACATAGGTAGCTTAACCCAGGGCAAGGGTGTGCACAGCATCCCCTGGAAGGAGCAGGTGGCTCACTGTGGAATGGCCAGTGTTGCTGGCCTGGACTGGGCCTGCCTCTCAGGGCACCCTCATCCTCCCCCAGCAGACACCAACATACCAACAGGCAGCACCATGGGGTGAGTGGATGCCCGGAGCGGACCTGCCTGGCACAGCACTAACAGGGAGAGGTTGCATCCAGGAGTGAGGACCCTCAGGAAGAGGTGGGCCTGGCCTAGCATCAGGGGCTGCTCCCAGGAGAGGCGCCCAGCTTCTGAGAGTTGGGTACAGTACACCCCCTGCCCCTGGGGGCCGCTGGCCCAGGCCAGGTTGACCATCGCACTGCCTGCCTGCATCGACACCAACAACTCATTGGGTATGAGCAGGGATATGGAGGGAAGGGGATCAGGTCAGCCTGGCCGCTGGTCCCAGTCCTCAGAGACCTGCGTGCGATGCCAGGGGTTGCCGACTCCATGCAGGACGCTTGGGTGTGGAGGTGAGAAATAGAACTAAAGGGGACTAAGATGCCATTCAGGGAAGAGCCCAGGGGTCTCAGAGGCAGCCCTGCCCACCTTTCCCACACCCCACTCACAGGTCCAGCTAGAGGTGTTGGCTGCCATGGTGTGAAGGGGCCCAGCCCGCGCAACAGTCCCCACTTCGTACTTAGTGCCCGGAGTCAGAGCCGAAAACCTTGTGCTGTTCACCTCGGTTCCCACGGCGCTGGCGCCTGCCTGGGCGCCCACCTGGTACAGGGTCACCTGGTAGCCATTCTGGCCCCTGGGAGCATGGACCCAGGATGCCCAAAGCTGGGTAGGGCCTTCACTAGTCACATTTACCAGAGGAGGAGCAAGGGGGGCTGCAGGGAGAGCAAGATACGAGGGGAAGGATAGGGAGAGAGAAAGAATCTGAACCAAATCTCTGGCTCCTTCCTCCCTGAAAGATCCTCCACCCTCCCTCCATTCCTGGCTCAGTCAAGAAACTCCAGGAGCCTGAGACATCAGGGCATCAAGTGAGCCTACAACTGTCCTCGACAGTAAGCAGCCTGATGGCAGGACCTGCCAGTTATCCCAGCAGCACAGCACAGGCTCAAACCGGGTTGGTAGATGAATTAACCACTTACTTACCCACAGCACCGGCCCTCTTGAGCTGGAGTTAGACGAGGCAGCATGAGAGTTAAATCATGTGCCTTTTCCCAGCTTCTGCACCCAAGAAGCTTGTAGATCCTTAAGTGGATGGACAGGCAGGGTCTGGGGGCTTAGGCAGTGCCCCTCCACTCTCAGATCTTGAGCCCAGTATCTGGAGTCCCACGAGCCTGGCCCAGTCACCTAGTCAACACTTCTCTTTACAGATGTGTTGTTATGAGGATTTTTTTCTTTCTGGTGGCTGGCCAATATGGGGATCTGGACCCTGGACCTTGGTGTTATCAGCACCGTGCTCTACCCAACTGAGCTAACCAGCCAGCCCTGTTATGAGGATTAAATGAGGGACTGCAGAGAAGACACTTAGCAAAGTGCTCAATGGACATTAGCCACCGCTGTTGTTATTACTAACATCTCATGGCCCAGGGGGGACTAGAGACCGGGTCCTGGCGGGGTCCCTGCTGCTACCCGCCTCCATACTGTCAGCCATGGAGAGAGCATGGAGAGCAGCATGCCCTGGCCGCTGTACAAGTGGGCAAACTCTGGGTTCTGCCCACCTTCTAGAATGCCAGAAGGGCCAGGACCCCAGGGGAGTCTCATGAGGGCGATGGGGGATCCTGGTGCTAGGGATGGGAGGAACAGCCACAGGCCGGTGTGTGCCCCGCAGTCAACCCAGCTGTCCGCCCACAGACCACAGGGGGTCAGGGTGGCGGGTCAGGAGGCACACAGCACCCTGGGAATCCAGAGAGCAAGGGCGAGGAAAGCCACACAGAGGGCACTCATGGGTCCAGCCCGTGGCGTTGGTGTTGCTGCTCTGATCCGGGCCTCTCAGGGTGGCCAGCCGTGCCAGGAACTCGGTGCCCATGCACAGCAGGGCCCAGGAGAAGTTCTGGACCTCCGGAGCCAGAGTTTCTTCGCTTTCCAGAGTCAGGGGCCCCAGGCGGTAAAGCTGCATCTGGAAGCCATCCCTGCCCCCTGGTGGGGGACTCCAGGAAGCCCTCAGGGTGGGAGCTGGGCAGCAAGGCTTAGGCTCAAAGTGGCAGGAGGAGCTGGGCCTGCAAGGTCGAGGAAGAAACGGATTTGAAAGAACCCGAATCCTTTGCATTATCTGCTGCTTCTCTTCAGCCTTGAAACAAACTCCAAACACTCCCACTCTAAAAACCCAGCTCCTGCTGGGATCAAAGCCCACTCTCCCTCCCATCCCAGGAACACCTCTTGAAGAGTCACCTGTCCTGATTCCTGCTCCCCCACCTCCTCTCTGACTGGCAGCTCCTTGAGGGCACAGTGCCTGGTTTACTGCAATCCCCTCCAGCACCCTGCTCAGTGCCCACCCTGTCACACCCCTTAGGGCCCCGGTCTCCAGCTCATCCACTGACGTTCAGTTACTGCAAGGCCTCTGTCTGTCCGTCTGTCGGGCCTGTGGTCCTTGCTGCATGCTCGGCCTCCTGCTAAAGCCCTCTCCACCCGTCCTACCCAGACCCTCCTGCTTCTCACCCAGCTTGGGGAAACCTCCCCTGACACCCTAAGCATGTGTCCCTCCTGTGAGTACTAAAATATTAGGTTGAATCACATAAAATTCCCAATATTCAGCCATTTAAATCTACAAGAATGGGGCCAGCCCGTGGCTCACTCGGGAGAGTGCGGTGCAGATAACACCAAGGCCACGGGTTCGGATCCTATATAGGGATGGCCGGTTTGCTCACTGGCTGAGTGTGGTGCTGACAACACCAAGCCAAGGGTTGAGATCCCCTTACTGGTCATCTTTATGTAGGAAAAAATAATAATAAAAATAAATTTAAAAAAATAAATCTACAAGAATGGAGTTTCATATGGTTCAAGCTAACACAGAGTGAACATTCCTATCAATGCATTTATATTTATTATAATATGATACATAAAATCACATACATTATATATGTATGTAAACTATCTGTTTGCTTGTCAGTCTTTCTCCCTTGACTGTCTCATTTTTAGCCTCAGCACCTATACATACCCATACCTAGAAAATGAGAGGCATGCATTAAATATTTGTTGGAGGGATGGATGAATGGAAGGAAGGAAGGATGGATGGATGGATGGATGGATGGATGGATGGATGGATGGATGGATGGATGGATGGATGGATGGATGGATGGATGGATGGATGGATGGATGGATGGATGGATGGATGGATGGATGGATGGATGGATGGGTGAGCACATGGATGGATAGAGGAATGGCTGGAAATGTGGATGGGTGGGGGATGGAGGGGCGGATGGGTGAGTGGATGGAGGGATGGATGGATGGTAGCCAACCAGATTATAGAGGTGGAAAATGCTTGTAAATAGATTCATGAAAGGCCTCATATTGGACTCGTGACACTTTGAGTCAAGAACACAGCACACAGAAGGGCAGAAAGTAGAGCCTCACCCCACCACCCTGGGCTGCAGCCAGGAACTCACAGGTGCAGGTGCAGCTCCTCTGGATGCTGGAGCTGAGGTTCCCCGCTCAGGCCCATACCGACACAGGATAGCAGGAGCCGGGCACCAGACCCATCAGAGTCAGGCTGGAATTGTCTGGACCTAAGTGGACAAGACTGCCTGGTGACCTCTGGCTGCCCTTCTGGTGCCAGGTGACCCTGTAGCCTTCTCACTGCCCTGGTGCTGGGGCCCAGCAAATGGCCAGGTCATAGGGACTGCCTCTGCCAGTGACCTCCAGGAACTGTGGTGCCAGGGGACCTGAAGAGAGGGGAAGTTTGGTGAGGGGACCATACAGTGTCTGTGGCCCTGTTATGTCCCCTGCCCAGCTCCTTTGAGCCTCTCCTCTGCTCTGACTCCCCTCCCCATGGCAAGGCCTTCCAGGCCCAGGGCCAGGGACATAGAGGCTGCCACTCACTTGTGTGGCCCATGAGGCTCTGGGTGATGACTCCCAGAGATGAGGCAATGTCCACCTGGTACCTGGGCCCAGGCACCAGCCCACAGAAAGTGATGTTGGTGGCACCAGATGGCACAGAGATGTTTCCAGTGAGGCCTGGGGCACCTTGGCATAGAGCAGTGCCTGCCTCCAAGGCTCCCTGGTGGCCTCCAGCCCATCTAGCTGCAGCTTGGCGCCACTGCTTTGTCTGGGGAGAAAGATTCTGCTGCAGAATCTGGAGAGGAGGATGGCCCTGGAGAGTGAAGATCCACCTGCTCCTTGATGCAGATGCCCTTGGTGGGACCCATCCTGCTCCCACCAGTCCAGACTCACCATCCAGCCAGGCACTGGCCTGGGCCCAGGTGTAATCGGGTCCAGCCAGAACCTTCAGCTCCAGAGCATAGTGTCCAGTGGTCAGGGACCCTGGGAATATGGTGTTGAGGGTCTCAGGGCCCAGAATGGTGCTCTCTTCCACCAGTCCACTTAACCTCAGCAGGTGGCCATCCTGGGCACCTGGCCCCACCCTCCAGCTTGCCCAGAGCTCAGGGGGCAGGGGAGTCAGCAGCAGCACTAAGCGTCAGCTCATAGGGGGTGCCTGGAGAGAGGTGAAGGAAAGTGTGACTGCAGCCCTCGCGTCTGACTACTGCAGTCAGGTTAGTGCCACTTAGGAGGTCTGTGAGCACTAGGTGGAGCCAGGCAGCTCCCTCAGAGCCATTCCAGGAGGCTTGTAGGGACCTGGTGCCCAGGGTCTGCAGCACCAGGTGATCTGGAGACATAGGGGCTAGAGGAAGAATGGAGAGGGCAAAGTCAGCCTTGAGAAAGGGCCTGGAGCAGGGTGCTGGCACCAATTCTTGTGCTGGGGAGCCCAAAGCCCAGCCACGTTGGGGCATGGCTGCCTACAGGGCTCTGGACTTACCACCACTCCTGCCACTCCCAGATTGGGCTGCTCTGCCCAAGTGTCCACCTTGCCTGTCCACTGGTGGATGCTGGTCTTCACTTGGAGGTTGCTAGCCCATGTGGTAACTTCTAAAACATACTCAATACCTGGCAAGAGGTTGCCAAAATTGTAGGACAGGGTGCCGGAGGGCATGGAGATATTATGTGCCAATGTCTGGGATTCTAGGTGGTACAGAAGAAGTTGGTAGCCATCCTGCTCCCCAGGGACATCACCCCACAAGGCCTCCAGGCTGGATGGGCTCCCAGGGCTGTGGAGCTGCAGTCCACGGACAGTTGAAAGGGCTGCATCAGAGATGGAGAGAAGCACCAAGGTCAGTGATGAAGGGCGTCACCCCTCAGCTTACAGTGCTTCTAAACGGGCCACTGTGCCAGACATGGTTCTGGGAGAGGCTGCCCTGTGGCTACCCTGCCCCCGCTGGCCCTCCAGGGCAGCCACCCCGGGCAATGTCCCCTCCCCCACAGCCTGCAGACCTCTAGCCAGTATGGGTAATGAGGATAACGGTGACATTCTGCCCACAGGGTTGCAGGGCAGTCACTTCCAGCTGGTAGCGACTCTCTGCCACCAGGTCCTGGAACTCAAAGCTGGATGCGTTGGTGAGGGCCTGGAGTGGCTGCCCTTCAGGAGAACCAAAGGGGCGCAGATGGCTGAGGCAGAGGACATGGCTGAATCCATCTGGCTCCAGGGCTGCCCAGCTCAGAAAAAGGCTAACAGGCTTCCCCTGGGGCCTAATGGTCACTTTCAGGAGTGGCCCTGGGGAAAGGGGGTGCATTCAGCATCTCCCAACACCCCTTCTTCCCTAAGGAAGGAGGGAAAGCATAAACAGGGCCAGAGCAGAGGCAGGGTCTGGCATGGAGAAATTGGCCCTGCACCCCCACTGTCCCCCCCACCTCCCTCCTTCACCAAAGACACCTACCTCCACTCTCCCCACCTGGGCTCCCTTCCAGAGAGGGGCACGAGTCTTCCCGTGGGAAGAAAGGGAGGGGAGAGGGGAGCTCAGCAGAGGACTCTGGGGTCCAGGCCTCTGGGAAAGCCAGTGGGGGCCAGGGCCAGGATCAGAGAGAAGGCTCTCCCCTTGTCTGACACTCATCTCCTGGAAGCATGCCCAAGGTGCGGCAGGCAGCCCGGAGCAATCTGTTCTCACTGCCCTCCATGCTGGCCCATGTGGGAAGGGAGCAGATTTCCTTCTTGCCTAATGCAGACCAGCTGTGGGGCTCCACCGGGGGGTGGGGGGAGCCTGGACATACCCTGGAGAGCAGAAGCCCATCCACCGCCCCTGCCCCCCATGCCCACCTTTCCTCCACCAAAAATCCCGGAGCCAGAGGAGGGCAGTGAACAGGATTGGGGCCTCATCCTGATGTCTGCAGAGGAAAAGTGGAAGGCAGCAGACGGAGGAGCCAGTCCCCCCACCCCTTGCCCTGCTGGCTGGTGGGCGGGCGGGCAGGCTGGCAAGGGTGAAAGGGCAGAGTTTCAAGCAGACAGCAGGAAGTGGTCAGCAAAGAGAGAGGGGCTGCTTCTCAATCCCAGACCCGGACCCCCACCCGCCCAGCCTTAGCAAGCCTCCGTGAGGGGAGACAGGTGGGGACTGTCTCTGGGCCCACAAGGTGGAAGGGGACTGTAACTCTCAGACTGCAGACAAGCCCACCTCTGCCCTCTGTCTCCCGCACCATCCACACTTCCAGCAGCTGGATCTCCCTGGGGGGATGTCCTGTGCCCTTGGGGAAGACCAAGAGGAGAGATGGCCTTGCAAATGGACACATAGAGCAGAGGTAGCTAGCCCCCCACTCCCTGACCCTGGGAGAGGGGCGTGGTGTTGACTCCATCAACATGTGTGAGATAGACGGGGTGTGTTTCTGTGTGCGCGTGCGAGTGTGTGTGTGTGTGTGTGTGTTCCTGGTGACACCATGGGCAGGTGTGTTCTTGTGTGCTGGGTGGATGGACCAGCTGAGTGTGTCCCCTTTTGTGTATCCATGTGGCACCATGCTCTTGTGGACAGAGGCACAGAAGCACATCCTTTTGGGCCCTGAGTCACAGCATTTGTAGATCTAGAGCTCACTTGGCCCTTGGGACTCACCTGGTCCCACCCACTTACTGCCCAGATGAGGAAGCTGATATCCAGAGAGAGAAGGAGCCCAGCCTAAGGTCCCACCTGTGTGAGGAGAGAAGCTGGACTTGAACCTGGGATTTCAGACTCCATAGAGCAGAGAAAGCAAACCCTGCTTCTAACCGCCCAAATAGGGGTCCTCTCAGCTTGGAACCTCTGGGGAGTGACTCAAGTCCCCATAATCTTCCTCCACTTCCTCTACTAGGACGGCAGAACCCAGCCTGGTTTCCCTGCCCAGGCAAGCCTGCCTGAAGCCTGGCCCAGAAGACACTGAACTTGAGGCTTTGCTTTACCCCACCCAGCCGAGAGCTGGCTACTCACCTTGAGCTGCTGTCCAGGTGCTCCCACCCCAAGAGAGCCAAGGGTGGGGAGGGAGGGAGAACAGGAGAAATGGCTCTGGGCCCTGGGAAGGAAGACCAGGATTCATCAAACTCAGGAAGTGGAGAGGAGGATTGTGCAGAAAACAGACAGGTATAGAAACTACCAAGACAGCGTCTGTGGGAGCCAGACTCTTGCAGGCCTGCTCTGCCCGGAGGACTGGCGTGGGTCTGAGAGCAGCCTGGCTCCCTGCTCAGGCCAAAGCCAGGGGCTGCTGCCCCTCCCCCACTCCACCCAGCCCCAAACCTCAGAGCTGCCCACCCAGCCCCTGGATGGGGGCCTGGAAACTCAGCACTGCAGACTCATCAGATTTTCCAGGCTCTGTGCGTGTGTGTGTGTGTGTGTGTGTGTGTGTACACACACAGGCACACATGTGATCTTTTGAAAGAGGCAGGGCATGAAGGGGTGGGGGAAACACACCGTGCCTTCATCCCTCCCCTCACCAGGGGACCTCATTACTCTTTCTAGCCAAGCCTTGATCAGCAGCCAAAAAGGCGAGAAGTGGGTGGAAGCAGCCTAATTCAGAATCTAAGTAGAGGAGATGAACAGGACATGGGTTTAGGTAAAGGGGAGCTCAGGACCTGCCTTAGAAGCCCCACAAAAAGAGAGACTTGTTGGGGACAGTACAGACCTCATATCTAGTCCTATGGATAGAGCCTTGAGGAAGTCCCTAGCCATAGAAGGCACAGCTGCCAGTCCCCCACCCAGTCTGCGCAGCCTTAGGGATGGGAGAGAGGGCTCAGGAAAGGGGGCAGAAAGGTTCTAACAGATAAGAAGCAGACTCTGCAGCCCAAGCCTCTCCATTCAGCAAAAAAATTACCACAAGGGCTGCACCTCCTCCCTGGCAACAACCCCCACAGACAAACCCACATCCTCTCCCTAGAGAACCCCGTAGGTCCTCCTGAGGTCTCAGAGCACCTTACTGATTCCTCCTGAAGAGAGCCAGCAGGGGCAGGTCCAGGCATCCTGGCTCCCAGATGTGAGCTGCCCTGGTCTCCCCTACAGCTGTACCAGCAGATCTCTTCCGGCCCCTCCCCTGCTCTACTACAGCCTGAAGCTAGGTCTTGGGCATCCCCCACGCTAGAGGAAGATAATCACCAGGCAGGAGAGGGGCAGGTGGCTCCAGATAGCCAAGCTGCCCCCTTTCCTCCCATGCTCTGGGGAATGTCCCACTGACCAGGTTGCAGAAGGCAGCAGGGGCCGGATGCAGCAGACTGGGGAGGAGCTGGGCATGTGTGCGCACACGCAGACTGTGAGGGTGCACAGACCTGGAAGGACACATGAGTGGGCGTCCAGGGACAACATGGAGGGGCAGCAAGACAGGAGGGCCCCTGGGAAGAAAGGGCCATGTTGCAGAACAGATGTCCCTTGTGCTGCTTCTGGACTTGGGAGAGAAGGACTCTCTTCTGCCCTAAAGTCCTCCTCCCCAGGATCCTGAGTTCCAGCAACAGGCACAGAACCAGACTTTTTTCTAGAGCTCCCAGCAGGCTGGCCCTAGTTCCCCCAGTGCTGAGCTGACCCTGATCACTGGTTGGTGCTGTCAGCCAGAGGCAAGGGATATGGGAAAGACCCCCCACCAGCCAGCATCCAAAAGGCAGCAGGTGGGAAACTGGACAGATGACATCCAGGATGGCCAGGCACAGGGATGCAACCCTTGGGACATGCTCCGTGGGTCTGTCTCCTCCCTCACCCTTCACGCTGGCTGGCCCAGACCCAGTCCTGTGCCCCCTCACAGCACTTCCCTGCCCAACTCACTGCGTGTTTCTTCCAGTCTTCCTGCATCCTCCTGGATGAGGTTTTCCAGATCCCAGTTCTCTTTGTCTCTGTCTCCCCCACACAACCAGGGGCAAGCCTGGACCCATAAAGTTGGAGCAGAATGAGCCAGCTTAGGCTGGCCTAGGATATTGCAGGGTTGGGCAGGGAGAACTCAGGGACAGCCACCTAGGATCCTAGGGCTTCTCCAGAAAGGAACTGAGGAGGGTGGCCAGGCAGGGGAGCAGGACAGGTGGCATCAGCAGGACCCAGGAATCCTGGCCCCCAGCAGCTGAACCTCTCTCCAAGATCCCCAACATCTTAGAATTATAGAGTGAAAAAAAAAAAAGAATTATAGAGTGGCAGCCCTTGCCTCTGGGGGCCAATAACATCTTGGCAAGGAGCTCCCTAGGGGCTGACTGGAAACAAGGACTTCTGGGAATTCCAGATATAACCCCACTCCCACCTCTACCCCTGCTGCTGGGGGCTTCTGATGCTGGGGACAGGGAGTTGTGGCTCACAACCCTGTAATTGGGAACGACCAGAGGAGGGAGACAGGAGAGTCGGGACATGCATGGCTAGGAGGGGCGAGGGCACCCTCCCCAGGCCTCAGAAAGAAAGACATCGCCCTATACCAGTCCTCCCCAGCCTAGCCTGGGGGCCTGGTACACCCCCCCTGCCCTCTCTGGATCTGACTACTTCCCCATCCCAGCCGCAGGGCGGCCCCTGGCAGTGACTCCCTCCAGAACCTCCCCGCTGCTGGGGTGGAACTGCCCCAGGCAGCCCTCTCCCTGAAGGCTGGCTGGAGAAAGGAAGCAGTGGGAGGAAAGGGGAGGAAGGGGGAGTCTGGGGAGAGGTGAGACCCAGGCCCACTGCCCTCACCTGCCCACTGACAGCTCCTGAGCACCCAGCTGTGAGCGAAGCCCTCCACAGGCCTCCCACCACCTGCTGACAAGGAGGTGCTGTCAGCCGCTGGGCGAGGGAGGAAGCCGATGAGATTCAGGGAAGCTCGGCAACCTGCCCGAGGTCACACAGCGAATGAGCCGCAGTTTAGACTCATCACAGGAAGCTCTTTCTGGCTTCCCACTATTCCTGTACTTGCTCTGAAGTTGAGGGTGTCTGGAACCTGAATCCCAACTCAGGAAGACAAATCAACCATTGGAGTGACAGAAGTTTGAGGTCTGCCTGGGACAGTTCCACCCCAGGTGTGGGAAGGTCCAGAGGGAAGAGGCAGTCACTCCCAGGAACCTCCCAGCAGCCTGGATGGGCAGAGGTGACCCCAGAGAGGACAGAGAGGGGTGTGCCAGGACCCCAGGGCTGGCTGTGGAGGGGCTGGTGCAGGGTGATGATACATGTCTTGTCTCATCTGAGGCTTGCAGTCGGCGCTTTCACCCCTCCCGAGTCCTGGCCACACTGTTCCATGAATATCCAGGCATTTCTAAGCTGAAGGGGAGAGCCTCATGGTCTTGCCTAATGCTCACCTATTACACCCCCCACACACCCCCAACTACCTTCCCCATCTCCTGGCTTCCAGCTTCCTTGTTCCGTGCCCAAGAGCTCAGCTTCCAACTGCTCAGACCACTGTGAGGGGCAAGGGTAGTGCTCACAGCCAACCTGGGAGCACCGGGTGACCAATGTGGGGAGGGTTTGCACGCTTCCTCCTCCCCCGCCCCTGTGGTATCCTAGCTTCCTGTTCTTGATAACCATCAACAGTTTGACCCAAAGGAGGTGGCCCCCTTTCCAGTCCCCTCCTGTCCCCTCCTTTATCCCCAGGGCCCCCGCCGTCCACCAGTGGAAACACTGTCTGGTGTGGGGGAATTGAGGTGGAGCCCAGCTTCAGGTCACTGCCTCAAAGTATGTTAGGGACTCCCAGGCTCCTGCTCCCCTCCACCCCATGCCGGGCACCGGGGCCAACCACTTCCCCAGCTCTGATCGGCCTCCTCCTCAGGGAAATCCACCCACTCCCCACAGGAGCATAGACTACAAGGAAGAAGGAGCCAGAATCAGCTGGCCATGGAGGGGTCAGGAAAGAGCCCATCCCCAAGAGCAAGGGCAGGTGCTGGGAGGACTCCTGAGGCCCAAAGGGTCATCCTCATTCCTCACCTCCACCCTCCTCCCCCACGGGCCAGCAGAAGACCGGCCCCTCCCCACCACCCTCTCCAGCATGCCCACCCCTCCACCTATTGTACATAATTTCTTTTTTGCTGTCATGGGTTGACAGCTGAATCAGAGAAGTGGGAGGAAGAGAGGGGACGCGGATTGTGCACTTTGGGGGCCGGGAAGGGAAAGGGTTTGGAATGTTACAAGGTAAAAGGAGAAGCAGCAAGCATGAACGGGCTGCTGCTGGCCAGCGAGGGGCCTGCCGAAGCCATGCAAGGGCAGGGGGCAGTGGAGTCTTGGACCTGGGGGCCACTCCCCAGGCTCCAGACATCCAAGCACCCCAGCAACGAAGAGGACATGGGAGACCCCTGGTGTGAGGACCAGAGACTGTCTATTTGCTGTAAGTCTTCTGAGTAGATGTCAGGGTTCTGGGGGAGGTCTAAAGGGGGCTGGGGTTGGGTGGAAGCCCCTCAGACTCTCCCACAAGTTGTCTCTGCTACCTGCTTCCCAGTTGGCTGGAGAGCTGGGGTGCAGCTCAGGGCCTGGAGAGGACTTTCTGGCCTGGCCCTGTGCCTTCCCTTTCCATTGCAGAACAAGGATTCCTGCCTCTCTTTTCCCCCTCCCCAAGTCTGTGCCACATCTGCTCCAGGAAGGTGCGGCCTGGGCTTGGCCATGAGTTCCCAAGGCTAGACGTGGCAAGGGCTTCCAGGGAGAGGGCTCTGGGGCAGAAGCGGAGATGTGGAAATAAGTCTCTGGCTAGGGTCAGGTTGAGCAGGAGAACCTGGGTCTCTGTGGGATGGCATGGAGCTGAGGGTCAGCTGAGTTCTGATCATCAAGCAGGCAGGGAGTGGACATGACAAAGACCCAGAAGTGGAGGGAAGAGGACTTAGAAGGTGGGGTAACTGGGGTGGCCGCCCATTCCCGAGGAGCAGGGCCTTAGGCCCCAGGCAAAGGTGCTGGGACACCACCAGCCTGCCCCCACAGGGGCACAGGCAGGAGGCACCCGACCCCTGGTGGCAGCAGCAGCAGGCAGCTGGGTGTGCGTGGGTGGCAGCAAGGAGGGGCGAAGGGAGGAAGCTGGCTTCCTGAAGCCTTCACAGCCCTCAAAGACAGACTGACAGACAGACAGCTGGCAAGCAGCAGCCTGGGGGACACAGCTGCTTCAGTAAGTACCAAAGTGGGGATTAGGACTCCTGTGGCCCAGGGGCGGTGTGGACTCTGGGGAAACAGGAGGGCATCCCCGAGGAGGGTGTGCGAAAGGGTAAGGTGGGCGCCACAGTGCCTGGCCAGGGAATGAGCACTGACATTCCTGGTTCCTGGAGGCTGGGAGGGCAGCGAAGCCCCAGGGAGCCCCAGGGAGCCCCAGGAGAGCAAGGCTAAACGGCCACCTCCTGCTGCAGGAAGACCTCCCTCGACCACCCACACCTGCACAGCTGCTCTGTCCCCGCGCCTCTGACCTGTGGGCTTAGCCACTCTAACGCCCCTGCCACCTCAGCCACTGTGACACTGGCTCGGGGAGATGGGAACTGCCCCCAAGAGGAGAGAGTCTCATCACCTCTGTGCCCCTCTCTTGCCCCCAGCTGTCGCCTCACCATGCGCTGTCACTCAAGGGCTTGGTGAGGCCATTTCCTGTGACGGTTACGGAGGCGGGAGACAGGGGGGATGGGCAGGAGGAGGAAGGAAACACCCCCAGCCTACCTCCCTGGACAGAGACCCAAGAAGTCAGAAATGGCCTTGGAAGGGGGATCACCAGCAGTCAGGAGGGGACCTGTTAGGGGCCAGCAGCCCAGCTGGCTAGACCTGCAACTGGCTCCATCACTGCTGGAGGCCTCGAATGTCTCATTCGGGAGAAGCCCCACTGGCCAGACTTAGACAGGGTTCCTGCGAGCTTTCACTCTCCCGGACTTCTGTAGAGAACACATATCTTACATTTCCTCCCTCGCCTCCGCTCACCTGCACCCCAGCTGACAGCCCCGTGGACTTTGGCCTCTGGCCTCTCTCCCCTCTCTGCCTTCCTCCTCTGGATTCTGTCCTATCTTCATCCACAGTCTGTACCTTTTATCTTGCCTTACTCTAACCCCAGGCTGTCTGCTGCTCTGGGTCCCACCAAAGAGATCCTCTCCTTCCCATCATGAAAAAGGGCCACTTCCTGAGGAACAGAAGACACCCTTAGTGAAAACAGAACAGAAGGCCAGCCTGGGCTGATCAGGCAGGCCAGAGGTCAGCAGCCGAGGGGCCTTCTCTTCCAGGTGGACCTCAAGGCTGAGGGAGCCTCCCCTGGGTCGGTCCAGCACCCCACCCCAGCATGATCCAGGCCTGCAGGGGGCACTCCAGAACACAGTCTCCGACCTTGTCTTTGGGGACAACCATGACCCAGCCTCCACCCACCAAAGCGCCAGCCAAGAAGCATGTGCGGCTGCAGGAGAGGTGAGATCTTTCCTGGGAGAGGGGACCGTCCTAGCCCTGAGCCCCCATTCGGCTCCTCCCTTCCCTCTGTCTGCCCCCCCTGCTCTGACAGCTAAGACCCTCAGTTGTTGACTCCAATCTGGAAAGGAAACTGATAGCATTGATTTGCATGCAGTTGGCATGTCATTTGCATGTCTGGGGCACAAAGTCTCATGTCAATCCTGAGTCTGCTCCCAGGTTGGGCTGAACAGCCCCTGAGGCCAGGCCAGGGGCCTTCTTGGTGTCAGATGTAGGTCCAAGCCTCAGGGCCACGCTGGGAGTGGGAGGGGTGGGAGCTGGAAGGAGCAGGTGGGCTCAAGGCTGCCCTGTTCTGGCTGATGAGGGAGAAGGGTAGGCAGAGAGGGGCCTGAACCCTGAATTCCTGGGCCTCTGGGTCAAGGGAAAGACAAGGAGCAGCCTCGTCAGATGCACCTTCGAACAACAGTAACTGCAAGGAAAGCAGATACTTTTGCGTGCTCACCAGGCACTGGTTGGCTATGCATGCAGGCGGGGCTCCAATGTGGCTCTGATGCTGGATGTGCGGTCCCTGGGGGCTGTGGAGCCCATCTGCTCAGTGAACACACCCCGGGAGGTCACGCTGCACTTTTTGCGCACAGCTGGACACCCCCTCACCCGCTGGGCCCTGCAGCACCAGCCTCCCAGCCCCAAGCAGCTGGAGGAGGAATTCTTGGTAAGAACTTGGGGTCCCCTCTGTATCACTCTGCCCTTCTGTATAGAGGCAGCCAGCTGGCACCATTCCATCATGTGCACTGCATGTCTTCTATCTGGGCCCCTTAGTCCCTAGGCCTCCACTTCTGCCCACCAGCCTGTCCAGGCCTACGTGTTAGTGCTGAGAAGCAAAGGCCAGTGCCCAACTGTACAAGAAAAGGGTGGAAGGGGAGAAAAGGAGGCAGTGAAATGGTATCAGCTGTTCACTCATTTCCTCCCCCTGCCAGAAGATTCCCTCAAACTTTGTCAACCCCGAAGACCTGGATATCCCTGGCCATGCCTCCAAGGACCGATACAAGACCATTTTACCAAGTAAGAACTGCAGCAGGGATCAAGGGAGGTGGGCACCATCCCTGTGGCTGGAGAACTTCAGAAGGCAGGATGCACAGCCTTAGCCAGGGAGCACACCTTACCTGGAGCACCTTCTGTCAGCAGAGAAATGCCTACAGCACGCCCTGGCTGGGGGAGGAAGGAGCAATCACCATAACAACAGAATCTGCAGATGTTTACTGTGGGCCAGGCATCGCTCCTTTATATTAACTCATTTCTCACAATGACCCCATGACGTTAGGACTATGGTATTATTACGCTCACTTTACAAATGGGGAAACTGAGGCACAGAGAAGTTGCATAACTTGCCCAAGGCCACAGGCCCAGCAAAGGTTTGCAGTGGAAGAGGATGGCTCCCCAGAAAGGGCACTGAGAAACTCAGCTGGAGGCAGCACAGTGACTGGCAAGAAAACAGTGACAGGTTGGGATGGAGGACGCTGGGCTGTGAGGGGTTGACCCTGCAAGTTGACAGACCCAGCACTAGCACCTCCTCTTTTTCAGAGGCAGGCATGAGGCCCTCGGACCATCAGGCCCTTGGAGCCTCTCCTCACAGAGCAGCCTTGTCTGGCTAACCCGTCCCAGCGACTTGCAGTCTTGAGGCCTCTGCTCGGCCAAGCACACTGGTCCTGCCTCCTGCTAGCCCTCCCGCGTGACCTCGGTCTGCATGGCCGGATCAAGGGGCTATTAGCACTCTCCCAAGTGGTGGGGAGGAGCAGCCCTCAAGCTCAGCTTACCTCTAACCAGCCCTTCAGCCACCAGAGAGGGGAAAGGTCCCTTTGTCTGAGATTCCCCTGGTTGCCGGGGTACCCTGTGTCTACAACCAGGCTGGCACAGGGACAGTGAGGGTCTCCTATCCTCTCCTCACAAGCCAGCTTCTTCATCCCTGTTTAGGTTTGATATGAAGAAATCTTCCTGCCTTAGAGGGAGAAGCCAATTTGCCTAGCGGCTGGGCAAAATCTGAATTCTAGTCCCACTTCACCACTGTGTGATCCTAGGCAAGGCCCTCATCTGAATCCCATATTTACCATCAGAAGAAAATTCTGCCTCCACAGCATCTCTTTTTCCATTCCTATCGGTGCCACCCTGTTCTACACCCGCATTGATCTCAAGGCTAGAAGATTCTGATAACTTGCCATGTGGTTTCTGCTGCTCCCTTCCCTTCCCTCTCTAGTCCGTCCTACACACACAGCACCTACTCAGTGAACCTTCCCGAAGGCCTGCTTTCACCATGTCGCTCTCCTCCTCGAAAACTTGCCATGGGTCCCTATTGTCTGTGTATAAAATAATTCAGTGGGTATCGGGACACCCACTATACACAAGGCACTGTGATGAGTACAACTGTCCTCTTTCTGACCTGTTGAAGTCTGCATTAGTTGGTCACCTTTTGACTTCTGACCTCTGCTGATTTTTACTTCTTAGATCCCCAGAGCCGTGTCTGTCTCGGTCGGGCACAGAGCCAGGAGGACGGAGACTACATCAATGCCAACTACATCCGAGTGAGTGGCCTGGCTGTGGTGGCAGTGTGGGGGATGAGGGGGTGGGGGTGGGTAGTTCTATGTTTGAAGATGTCGGAGAATACCTTCCAGCTCTGGCTGGGTTTCCCTCTCTGCTCCAATTCACTGTTGCCATAGTCCTGCCAAGCTGGGATGGATATTGAACAGGCCCCAAGACACCAACAAACCTAGAAAACAAAGCAGATGTTTAAAATTTCTGGAGGGCTGGCCAGGTAGCTCAGTTGATTAGAGTACAGTGTTATAACACCAAGGGCAAAGGTTCAGATCCCCTTATCGGCCAGCTGCCAAAAAAGAAAGGGGGGGCGGACTTTCTGGAAGAAGAGACCACCAAGTCTCCTTAACCTACCCTATCACGCCATCCATGCCAGCCCTCTAAACTTGGCAGGGAGTTAGCATTGTTGAACACAGTCCTAGCTTCTTCTTTTTTTTTTTTTTTAAAGATGACCGGTAAGGGGATCTCAACCCTTGACTTGGTGTTGTCAGCACCACGCTCACCCAGTGAGCCAACCGGCCACCCCTATATAGGATCTGAACCCGTGGCCTTGGTGTTGTCAGCACCACGCTCACCCAGTGAGCCAACCGGCCACCCCTATATAGGATCTGAACCCGTGGCCTTGGTGTTATCAGCACCGCACTCTGGGCCGGCCCTCAGTCCTAGCTTCTTGAGGGCTAATCGCTCCTTAGATCTACATGAGAGATGCCAGAACAAATGGGAGCTGTCAGCTCTCTCCCCTTTCTCCCTTCTCTCTCACCCTCTCTCACTTTAACTGCTCCTCAAGGAGCCCTCCTTCGTGGAGATGGTTTGATAGGAAGCGCAAAGCCGGTGGGCTCTCTGCCCCGGCTCCCCACCTCCACTGGCCCTGGGTAGATGTGAAAACAGCGCTCTCTAGCGGCTGAAGGTGGGCAGGACGGGGTCATGGGTGCAGAGAGGAGAGCTGTCAGCCGGGAAGCCTTGGGGCAGTGTGATCTCCCACCCGCCAGCCCACGGGCAGACAGCTGTCTGGTTTTCACCATCATCTTGAGGAGCAGGAAGCTTGAGACTCCTGAAGAGGAGAAAGACAGATTAGGGAGAGTGTGTTACATTTCGCTACTAAATATATAAAAGTAATCCATAAAAGTGAAACATTGATTCAACAAATATTGAACACTTTCGTTACTGTTATTTCGTGCTAGAAGAAAACAGCAGGGGAGGAAGGAAACAAACATTTATAGAGCACCTGCTATATGCTAGACTCTCAATATGTCTTGTTGAATTTAATCTGTACTACATTCCTGCAGGATAGATATTATCAATGCCCAATTTTCAGATGAGCAGGCTTATAGTGGAAAGCTAGGAAAAGGCAGAACAGGGATTTGAACTCAGATGTTCCCCACTCCAGAACCCATGTCCTTTCCACCATGTGGCCTCTGGGTGTGTATTCATGCATGCGTGTGTCTGTGTGTGTGTTCACTGGCTTCAGCACCTGCCAAGTCTGGGATTTCCCCAGAGCTCCAGACTCACAGCCCCCCCTCCCTTTCCCCTGTGCTTGCACCTCCCCAGGGCTATGACGGACAGGAGAAGGTCTACATCGCAACCCAGGGCCCCATGCCCAACACTGTGTCTGACTTCTGGGAGATGGTGTGGCAAGAACAAGTGTCCCTCATTGTCATGCTCACTCAACTCCGAGAGGGCAAGGAGGTAGGAGGCAGAGCCACAGTCCTTGGTGAACCCAGAAAGGGCTACACCTGCCATCACACACACACACGTACACGCACAAACACACACACACACACACATGCACTCAGGGCAGGTCAAGACCAGAGGCTTCCCTGGGAGCTGAGAACACTGTCAGCCAGCCCCAGCTTATACCTCTCAGAAAGGTCCCTGAGACATACCCCAGGGAGGCTGTCCATAGCCAAAACATGGAAGGGGGCGAGCACTTTGTCTGCAGGGGTCAAGCTCAGGGGAGCCAGGCCCCAGTTGCTGACTCCTCCCCAGTGGGGGTGGGAAGCGAAGAGGGAATACCACCCGCCATGCTGTCCTGGCCCCCACTCCAGCTGATAGATCCTCCCCTTCTGACTCCCAGCTCCCTCCCTCCTAGAAATGTGTCCACTACTGGCCCACAGAAGAGGAAACCTACGGACCCTTCCGGATCTGCATCCAGGACGTGAAAGAGAGCCCAGAATACACTGTGCGGCAGCTCGCCATCCAGGTACCACCCCCTGAGGCCAGGCCCAGTTCACAGGGAAGTTGGGCCACCCTCAGCATCTCTGGAACTCAGGTCCAACCTTCGCTAGGAGCCAAGTGTTTACTCATCTCAACCTTTGTGAACCCACATCTAAGGGAAGGGCTTGAGCCACAGAAGAGAAACTGGGGTACTATCCCCAGGGAGCCTCTGGCCTAATAGGGCAGAGCCAACAAACCAAATGGGGAGCAACAGGAGGTGACCACCCATCTAGGCTGAATGGTCCAGGTGAGGGAGGTGGGATCCGGGAGTCCTGCTGAAGGAGTGAGAGGAGGTTGGAAGAGATGCATAATTAAAAGTACTTTTAAAATGCCTCTATCATTGCATTGTGTTTTAAATTGTTCAAAGCATTTCTCTATCAACTCATTATCCTCCAAGCATCCTGGGAAGTAAACTAATCGGGTTAAGGGACTTCCTAAAGTCATGTGCTAGTGAGAGGCAGAGCCAGGACTTGAACTTGGGTCTTTCCCTTCTCCCAGAACAATGCTCTTTCCCAGCATTTTGCAGGCAGGGGGAGAGGGTGTGATGAGAAGGAAAACAGTCAGCCTTGCCTGTTCTGAGTTGATGACTCCTCCATGGGGTAATTCCAACCCTCGCCCTTCTCTGGCACCAGAGAAGAAGGTGGGCAGTGTCTCCCACCCTGATGCTGGCTCACATGTCTCGTCTCCATCCCAGCACCAGGAGGAATGCCGGTCAGTGAAGCATGTCCTCTTCTCAGCCTGGCCCGACCACCAGACCCCGGAATCAGCTGGGCCCCTGCTACGCCTGGTGGCTGAGGTAGAGGACAGCCCAGAGACAGCAGTCAACACTGGGCCCATCGTGGTCCACTGCAGGTGCGTGGCCCTGCCCCCGCCACCCCCACCCAGCAGCCTTTGCACTGTGCTGCCCTCCCCCTCCCACAGGGTCTCTCCTGGGAAAGGGTCTAAGCAGAACAGCATCAGGCAAGCCCAGTTCTTACTTGGGCAGGAATCTCTAGGTCATTCTGCTCTTGCTACCTCCTTCATGCAGAGCCCAGACATCAGGGCTGGACACCCGGGCTCAGTCCAGAGAGGGGATGGAATACCAGGAAGGTCCCAGTCTGCTGGGGGAGGCCATAAACATGATCCCCACACTGGGGACTCATATTGTTCAACAAATGCTTATTGAACACCTGTTACTGTCAGGCACAGTCTTAGATGTTAAAGAGAGAGCAGTGAACGAAACAGTTTGGTTTCACCCCTGATAGTTTATGGCCTATGGGAAAGACAGCAGATCGGAGAACTAAGTACAACACAATGTGATGGGAGCTCTGACGGCAGCAGCATGGGGAGCACAGAACCAAGCTGCCTAATCCAGATGTGGCCAGAGCAGGTTTTCCAAGAGAAAGGACATCCAGGCTAAGCTAAGACGTAAAAGGTGAATTAGCCAAGTATAGAGGGGGAGGGAGGCATTCCAGGCAGATGGAGCAGAGTATGCAAAGGCCCAGAGAAAAAACTTTAAAATTGATACATTGCTGGGAGCAGGGTTAGAGGGTGGGCCTGAGTAAGGCCATGCGTGGGGACAATGACAGATGAGTCTGGAAGGCAAGTAAAGGCCAGATGATGAAGGGCCCTGTAGGACTGGCTGAGACACTTGGATTGGCCATTTTAAAAGAATACTTTGGCTGTCATGAAAAATGGATTGGGGTCAAATGAGGGGGTAAAGCAGGCGACAAGACTGAAAATAAGAACACCATTTGAGGGCCGGCCCGTGGCTCACTTGGGAGAGCGTGGTGCTGACAACACCAAGTCAAGGGTTAAGATCCCCTTACCAGTCATCTTTAAAAAAAAAAAAGAACACCATTTGAGAGTACATCTCCCAAATAAAACAGAACAGGGCCGGCCCGGTGGCGCACTGCTACAGTGCGCCGCTTGGGAGCCTGGCGGCGCTCCCGCCGAGGGTTCGGATCCCACATACAGACCGGTTCCCACTCACTGGCTGAGCGAGGTGCAGGCGCAGCACCGAGGGTTGCGATCCTGTTGCCAGACACGAAAAAAGACAAAAAAAAAACAGAACATAGAGGCAAAAAGTAGGAAAAGAGGGAGCTCACAAACCCACTCACGGGTGCCACCCGAACGTAAGTGCTGGGAGGTATTAGTGGCTTCTATCAGGGATTCACCAAAGAAGACTTGCTGAAGAACAGGAGGGGCTGAGAGGGTTTTGAAATCAAGAAAGGGCAGGACAGAGCAGAGAGCAGGGCCTGTGGGAGGGACCTGAGGTGGGAAGCGGATGCTGAGCGCTGGCAACTGTGGCAGACAAGTCTGTGCTGGGAGGAAGTCATGGTTAGACAAGGAGGGCTCAGGGGCCAGCCAGCCCACAGGTGGGGGACGGTCAGCTGGAAACTGCTGTAGACTGCTAAGCAGAGGAGAGATCATCAAGACGTTCACAGGGACCGGAAGGTGAACTGAAACACACGTGGAGCGGGGCTAGTAAGAAATGTAAACTCCTCCAGTGCCCGTGATAACCTTCCTCCAGCAGGGTCCCCAGGGAGGCTGGAATCCGAAGTATTGCTACCTGCCTCCGTCCCCAGAGCCTCAGCCCCCTCAAATAGAGCACCTGTAGGTCCCATTTCTTAACCCAGAGTTTGGAGCCTAGCTCCCATCTTCCCTGGCCGCCTGGCTCCCATGGTCCCTGGTCTCCTGTGACCTCCCCATCCCCTCCTCGGCTCTATTCAGTGCAGGGATTGGTCGCACTGGCTGCTTCATCGCCACTCGAATTGGCTGTCAACAGCTGAAGGCCCGAGGGGAAGTGGACATCCTGGGCATCGTGTGCCAACTACGGCTAGACAGGTGGGTCCATGGATGTGAATAAGACATTTGCAACATTAAAATTAACAAGTGACACCAGTGCCTCAGGCATCAGAGCTCTGCTAGGCACGTCACCATCAAGCACTTCTGCCAGAAAGGAAGGGACTCTTTTTGCTTACAGATCTGTTTATTTTGCAACTAGCACCCAGGATATAATATCTATCTGGAGTTTTTGCTTGGGGTCCTGGAATTAAATATGCAACTCTATGGATTTACCTTGAGCCTTCAGTCTTTTGTTGTTGTTTCCAAATTCTCTACTCAGTGGAAAGTTGGGAAATGGAGTATGGTTGGTTCTAGATACTAGGCCGCCACAAGTAAGGCACGGAAGCTCACTGGGTTTGCAGACAGAGGACCAGGGTTTAAATTCTGACTTCTTTCTCACTGAGCTGTCACTATAGTTCGCTGAGCCCCCATTTCTTTTTTTTTTTTTTTCCTTTTTGTCTTTTTTCGTGTCCGGCAACGGATCGCAACCCTCAGTGTCGCGCCCGTACCGGACCGGGACCGGCAACGGGATCGCAACCCTCGGTGTTGCTCCCACACCTCGCTCAGCCAGTGAGCGGCCGGTCTGTATGTGGGATCCGAACCCTCGGCGGGAGCGCCACCGCGCTTCCCAAGCGGCGCACTATAGCAGTGTGCCACCTGGCCGGCCCATGAGCCCCCATTTCTTTATCTAGACAAAGGTAATGGCTCCTTCCCCAGAGAGGGGTTGTAAGGAATGAGTTAACTTATGTGAAAGTGTTTTGAAAAATGGGAAATACTATCCAAATGTATGGAATTATTATTTTCACTTTTTTTTTTTGCTATTTATTTATTTATTTTTATTTTAACGAGAGGATAAACATATGTGAAGGAGTTGGCATGTTCTTTGAGAAAGTATGGACTTTCCCAATAGACTGCGAAGACATTGATCTGAGCCATTTGGCAAGCACCCTGACCCTCCTTCGCTCATGGGCTGTGTGTTTCTCCTTGCAGAGGGGGAATGATCCAGACTGCGGAGCAATACCAGTTCCTACACCACACTTTGGCCCTGTATGCAGCCCAGCTGCCTGAAGACCCCAGCCCCTGACCCCTGCTTCCCTCCACCGGCCCAGGTGCCAACCTCCCCTCAGGCCTGGGAGGGTGGGTCTGAGGAACATGGGCTGTGTGATCTGGGGGCACCCCCTGGGTGAACAAGGGAGAGGGGTACCTCCTTAGTGAGGACTTACAGTCACAGGAAGCTGCATCAGCAAGGACGAGGGTCCGGACTCCAGGCCTTAACCACTAGCCACTCCTCTGCTTCTTCCAGTGGCCCAGATAGACAATAGAGGGGACCTCCCATGTCTCTGAATTTAAAGATAGCAGCTGACACTTACAACAAAGAAGCCCAGGTGTCCTGGTCTTCTCTAAGATGCTCTTTGTGAGCTTTATTTTCTTTGTCTATAACATTGACATTAAGTGATTTGCTGCCATAAGGGGAAAGCAATCAGAGAAGTTCCTAGAAGCCATTCCAACTGTATCCCCCTCCTGGGGCTGGCAAGAGGCTGATTCCAAGATCATCCTTCACCTAGGCTCTGCCTAAGCCCAGGCCAGATGCAAGAGCTGGGAAAAGTCTGGTTCTGGCCTCAGTCAAATTCTTAACATCCTAGCAGTGACTCTCTGCTCCCTCATCTCACATCTGTGGGCTGGACCCCCCTACAAAAGAGAACAAGGGCCCAGATTACTTCTGCTTCTGTCCATGTGTTCTGGGAGCAGGCTACAGAGGTGCCCAGGCCTGGCAGCTGAAATGTCTGGCAGAGGGAATATGTGGGGACCACTTACTCAGAGGCCAAGAGGACTGTCCCTGCCTCCATAGTTGCTGGCCACTCACCCCTACTCTCTAGGGAGACCCAGCATTCTCTTCTGTTCTTTGCTTCCATGACCTCAGAAGACACTCTGAGTACCCAGAAAGTACAAAAGAAAGAGGAAAGAGAAGGAGACAGAACTCGGTTTGATTTTAGATAACCAACCCCTGCTACTACCCTCCACACCCTGCATTTGCAGAGTATGCCTGGAGAGCTTGGTTGTTTCCATAAAAAATCTGGGTTATAACCACTCCACACAGACACAGCAGCTCAGACTGAACTGAGATGCCTCACTGCCTACCCCAGAGAACTAATTCCCCTCATCCATCTCAACATCAATGCAATTTCTAGGGGACCCCAGATCTACCTCAGAGCTGAACCAAACACCCAGGATGGCATCCAACCCTTCGCCCTCCTTGAATCTGAGATGGGATGCTCAACCTGAGATGGAGATGAAGGTCAGGCACCATTTCACCTGGTACTCAGCCCCTGAGATCTGCTTTGCTGATACCCGTTCTCTGTGGAAACTCCCAAGGAGCTGGATCCTGGAGCACAGCTGGGCCTCGTCATTCATGACATCTCTTCTGAAGAGTACGCAGTGCTAAAACTGAGGCTAATTTTCTCAAGGCTTCTGCGTGGTTGTACTAAGGAGCTGCTCCTTCCTTATAGCATCAGGGACAGGCTTGCCCACACCTCCACCTTTCCTAAGCCCTGTGAGAGGCACTACAGTGTGTGTTGATGTAGCCAGGTGGACGGCTCTCAAGTGGCTGATCCTGTCCTGAGCTCAGACCCAACCTGGAGGGAAGCAACTTCATAGCCCCACAGGCTCTCCTCCCTGGTACAGTCACCCCAACCCCATCTCGGAGTGCAGAGGGTTCAAGCTCCAGAAAAGTGACTAAGTGGGAAAATAAAGACTTCTTGGATGACTGAGTCATTCCTTCTTTTCATCTTCTTCTCAGGCCTCTGGGGCCTCTTTGTAGCAATACAGACAGTAATATGACTCCCTAGAGCAGGAACAGGCTGCAAATCTTTACCCCTGGGATATGCACTTTGATAGCACTTCCATGGACATAAAACAAAGTGAAATGAAGTCAATTTAGGAAGTGAGACAGAGGTGTACTGTCCTAATCTGCTCAGGCTGCTATAACAACATACCATGAACCGAGTGGCTCATAAACAACAGAGATGTATGTCTCACAGTTCTGGAGGCTGGGAAGTCCAAGATCAAGGCGCCTGCAGATTCCATGTCAGGGTCTGCTTTCTGACTTATAAGCAAAGCCTTCTTTCTGTGTCCTCCCATGGTGGAATGTGCATGAGTTGGCGTTCTTTTCTCTCTCTCCTTTTGTATAAGGGCACTAATTCCATTCATGAAGCCTCTGCCCTCATGACCTAATCACCTCCTAATACCATCACCTTGGGGATTAGGATTTCAACATATGAATTTTGGAAGGACACAAATATTCAGACCATAGCATGTATCTTAGGAGCTAGAGAGGGATTTATAAAGGGGCAGAGACTAGAAAGATGGTGCTTAATAAATCAGAATATTATGCTGGTCCAAGACTTTGTGATTCCTCCGCTTTGGCAACTGTTTGATTATTTGGGGTCATCTAACTCTTGGGCAGGTTTAACAGATGTGGTTGATACTGATAGTTTATTCGCCTTTGCCTAAAACAATAGACTACATATGGGGCTGGCCCATGGCACACTCGGGAGAGTGTGGTGTTGACAACACTAAGTCAAGGGTTAAGATTCCCTTACCAGTCATCTTTAAAAAAAAAAAAAAAAAGACTAAATGTGAGTACATTTGAAAACCAAGTCTAAGGAGCATCCAACATTGGGTGGGGACTGCCCAAAAGCGTAGGACTAGCCAGGTGCATCAGCTGGGGTGACCAGCCTGCTGACTAGCAAGCCCTGTGGTTAGTTCTTGCAAGCAGGGTGAGAGGGAGTGGGCATCTTGGCAGGCCCTATGCCACCATCAGTTCTCCTCCTGAAGAAAACTTTGCTCCTTACCAAAACAGGACATTTTCCTTTGCCACAGATGTTCCTCACGGGAAGTCACCTACCAGGATTTTATCTGTTTCAGTATCATGCTAGTAAAAATCAACATCAGGTTTAAACATTTATTTCACTTTGGGCCTGAGGCTTTCTGAACAAGTGGTCGGGGTAAACTGTGGTTTACAAACCAAGATGGAGTACTAAAAGACCCAAATAAGGTTGCTACTCTCCGCTGGGTACGTTGTGAGAGGGTGGGACCCAGCACCCAGGGGTGCTTGGAGGCAGGGGTCCAGGGAACAAAAGCCTGCTTTTTCCTCCCTGTCATGGGGCTCTCATCTTCGTGTGCTGGGAAGTGGGTGAACCACTCTTCTTCCACCTGGAGATGCTCCTGCTTACCCGGGATCTCGCCAGCCCGCCCCCAGCGCCGCAGCCCGCGGGCCCGCCGCGCACGCCGCCCGCCTCCGGGCGGGGAGGAGCGCGCGCTCGG